TTGGCCAATCAGAGCGCGCATTAGAAATCATCTATATAATAATCGATATTAATCGATATTTCTAAAAAAAATTGTGATTATCGATTTTTATYGATTACCTATACTAATCAATACTAATCAGTTGTTCATATCGATTAAGCTTACTTAATATTGATTTATCGATTATTAGCTTTCCGGGTTTTCTTGCAGTCATATCGTACCTACATTACGACGATTAAGCTTGAAGGTTACAAAACGTACCTGTATTCTCCCTGTTTTCGTTGAAGTAGTYTGACAGGGTAGGAAGAAATATTCCAAAACTTAGACAAAACCCAAAATTTAGGGCAGTACAAATAGCCGCCGAGAAACACACCACCCACGACCAAGAAGAATCTGGTTTCTTTGCTTGACAAATGGAGGACATCTTGAAGCCACTGGCTTACGTTCAAAATTACATATAAATATACTGGTGTACATAAAACCCCTTCATTGCCTTTTTTAAAAGCTTTTGTTTCTACTGAAATGCATAATTTAATTTCACCGACCACAACGACTGGCAACTAAAAAGCGCGCGTATTATACAGTTTGTAACCGCGCCTCCAATGTGAGACCGTGGACAGGCAACCCAAGCTAAGCATTTGACTGGCTGATTTAGAGATATCTATAATGCATGTAAATATGACCAAATATGAAAATTTTGAAAGAAAAAAATAAATAAAAACATTTTTCTACCTGATAATGGGATTTTAGCTCTGAATTAAGGCGTAATTTGCCGTTTTTCTTGATATCTCCCTCTATACTGACACTATCGACTGATACTATAACTGACACTATCGACTCAGTGATATGATAAAGTCAAGAAAAACGGCAAATTACGCCTTAATTTAGTGCTAAAACCACATCATCAGGTAAGACAAACGTTTTTACTTATTTTTTCTTTCAAAATTTTCCGCATATTTTACATTCATTATAGATATCGCTAAATCAGCTAGTTCTTGCTAGTTAAATGCTTAAATGTTCTTTTTTAAAACTAATACAATATCAACACGACAAAAAACTTCGCCGCCATAAAACAAGGTTGTCATACCGGATCACACTCCCTATACCAATCAAAAATTTTCAGCTCCGATTTCAGCTTACCAACAACCCCTTCGAGCGTACTGAAAATAATATTAAAGACTGGGTACACCTGGGATTTACCCTCGGGCATTGACCACACGCACTATGACGCGTTGCCTTTCTCGTTTCTCCAGACAAAAAATCGCAGAGGTCATAGCTCTTTAGGTTCTACCGCGTACCAGAACATGTATGCGCCATCTTGAATCAACCGTGGAGGAGCAAAAGTAACTTCATCTGATAATCATGAATGGATTTACAAAGGACTTAAAATATTTACATTTTATTCATATTTTGAAATTTTACTAGTTATTCATGACAACAAATAAAAATAAAAATATTTTGTCGGTTGTTGACCTTTGTTTTGTTGCGAACTGTTTGCTATAAATTTCCTTGCTGGCATCTTTTTCGAAAGGCGTTTAAGAAGTATCCAGTATCAGATTCATGAAAGCTATGTTTTGATATAGACATTTTACATTGTAAAAAAATTGTTTTTTCTTCTTCTTAAAATCGTGTCAGGTGCATTTACTTTGCCGACAGACGTCAAGATGGCGTCCTTTTATTTCTAATTAAGRGAGGACAAAGTTTCGCTTTAAAATTAAAGTTACAAGTTATAATGCTTGTTGCTCGACACAAGCACAAGACGAAATGACTTCAAATAGTTCTTTYGTCAATCCCATGATGCATCTCATTGGAAATCACAGTACTTGATGAAGGGAAAGAAGGCCATGCCACTCAGTGTTTTGATTTCAATGAAATATGCCAAKGTTAGAAAAGTCCATTGGTATAATTGTACACYCTAGTGTCATAATGGAGTCTGGATAATAACTGTCGATCAAATCACCACCAGTKTTTGCACCGTTTTGTCTTGGYAAAAAATGTCAAATTACCTAAAAAARGAAAATTTTTCGTGATTATCAACGTCCGGTTAAACGAAGACGACGGTACTAGAGTGTATTTTTGAGAATGACTTCTACATTTCCCCAAAAGTTACCAATATTGGCCATGCTTCGAGGGTGAGGTATAAAATAATATAACTAGAAAGTCTGACAACGACATTTGCAGAACATAGGTGTTCTCTGTCCCAATGGCAAATTTAACAAATGACTGATGATACGATCTGAAATGGCTAGGAAAATCACCTCGTTTATCCCTCATTTGAATAAAGTTTGGCATGGGACGAGAACACGGGTACACATGAATAAGATCGAGCTAATTAAAAATTATATTTGCATTCATAGAGTATTTCCTACGACTGCTATGTACGCCTAAGTTCAAACATTTTCGTTCCCAATTTAGAGAATTGCGCACGCATGCTAACTGCAAATATCGGCATTCATTTACTAAGAGAATTGCATGGGCGCGCATGGCTTTAAGTTGTATGTCCTCTCTATTAGAGAGGTTTAGCATGACGTTCACGGCAAACGGCAGAAAAAATCACGTGACCTGCTTTTTTTGAGTTTAACGTTGCAGTCTCAACGCGAGATCGGGTTATTTTGAGGTTGCCATAATCGTGAAAAGCCGCTCTTTCAAATGACTACCAAAAGCACAAGGTCGGGCACGAAACTCTTAGGTCATTGGTTAAGCTCTGCCGTTAGCCGTTAGCCGTTTGCCGTCAACGTGATGCTAAACTCGACACACTGTTGACGCACGAGACGTGCATATCCTCTTATCGATACACTCTAATCAGCCAATCAGCGCGCGAGAATTTACACAAGTGTGGTAAAAAAATCAATACCATTTACCTGAAGTTATCAATGTCGATCTTTCAAGCCGTACAAGTGTTCTTCTTTACAGTCTTGTATTGTGCTCCCGTGGAAATCTCCAGAACATGTTCAGCTTCAGAACAAAAGGGAAAAATGCAGCAAACAAAAGAATTCCACCAACAATATAGAAAGATAGGATATAGGAGCCAGTTTGGTCAGCAATATATCCTAGAAACATAATATTGAATAACTATTAAGAAACAAATAAAATTGTATCAAATTTTTGCATGGTCAAGTGATGCTATCTCACATGGCAGCACATGGCATCAAAGTGAACCACTGTGCCGCCACAATGTAATTCAAATGTGTAATTCACAACAATAGGATGCCTTTTGATATACTTATAGTTTGTTTGGGTTACCTGTGCTTTTCAAAACTCTACATAAAACAGTTTGGAAAATTGCTAAACCTAGACTCAGGCTCTCTGCTGGAAGCCTTTAGTAAGAACACATTCTTCAAAATACTTTGAAGCAGAATACTCCATTTTCAAATTGAAAGCGAATAACCACTTTTTTATTTGACAAAAGATTCCCTTGKGCAAAGGCCTTACCAAAACAAAAGATRGTACAAGAAAATGTTGTAATTATACAATCACCCTGACTATTTGCACTTTCTTTGAGTTGAGGTTAGCCCTATAGTCCCAAAAGGCTTTCTGGTAATACAGGGTTAGTCTCAACTTGGAAATATAGCAAATTTTCAAAGCTGTCATAATAATAACATTTTTTTCTCACTTTCTTTTGAGTTTGGTAAAGTCTTYGTGCAAGAGAATCTGTTGCCAAATAATAATCTAATATCTAATATCACATTGAATGTTTTCCATCRACTCAGAATTACAGCAAAATAATCTGTCTATATTAATTTAATGTTATGGCACAAAAAATGCTCTASGAGAGGGAGCCCACAGTCTAATCTGCAGGGATTCTAGTCTACTTACCAACAAGCGGTGCCCCTCCACAGACACTAATAGAAGAGACAAAATAACCCATCCCAAGACCAACTGAACTCATACTTGGCTCAAGGATTGAAAGAAAGAATAACACCAAAGAYGTGACAAACACTCCACTGGCAAGACCATATGCACAYGAAAACAAAAACAGATGCAGGTATATCTTGGATAAAGTAGACACCATGAACGAAAYGCCAATTAACAAAGTAGATAGCTGGACACCTTGAAGAGGAGTGACCCACTTACGATCAATTGTGATACCAAAGAGAACACGTGCTACAGTTGAACACACACCAATAGCAGTGAACAAGTAAGATGCATCTTTACTTGAAATATTGAGGTCATTGGCAAACTTGACCTGCATGGACAGGAAGAAAGAGTAAATAATAAAAGAATCATTATAAYTGCACATCATAAAAAATTCCATTCCACCAACTTAAGTCCAAGTTAAGTTAAATGTGGATTGGCATTTGAATGGACTGTTCATTCCAGAGAGTTAAGTTCACCCGTTTATAAGGCCTTCTTAGTGACTTCTTATGTTATTWTTTTGTAGTCAACAATCGTCAAAATTCGCAGTCAYGATTATCGTCATTATAGAATCCGAAATCCGACGTTTTCAATAAATCCATGATCCGGTACGTTTTAAGAATCCAGCAATCCGCTCTATTTTTTCTTTAAATCCGTAATCTGCGTGTCMTTTTAGGCCCAGATCTGTCGATCCGAAAACCTATTCACTCCCCCCTAATAGAATAACTGGATAACAGGAGTGGCCTAAAGTGGAAGCTAAAACAAAGGCAATTAGGACAACACTCTGAACAMTTGGTTTTATGTAAAAACAAAAGACAAAAAAAGAAATCTCAAGAAAAATATTCAACATTAACAATATTACTTTATTATGACAAAATTGTAGTTACTTACCAAGTGAATGCTTGGTACAAACAATCCAAAGAACCCAATTACAATAGACAGAGTTCCTAYGCAGTATGGAATACTTTTAAAYACAGACAAATAAGTAATGATGACCGAGCATTTCCCTTTTGGAGACTGTTCTTGTCCCTGTGGTTCTTCACTTGTTCCATTACTCTCAGTATGAACAGGAATGAAGGTAAAGGATAAAAGACACATCAATAACAGAACTCCTGACATCACTCGAAAGGCCCCTCTCCAATGCAGAGCTTCTACAAGTATTTCCAAGATGGGACCTAAAATCACAACTCCAACAGAAGAGCCAGAGGCAGCAATTCCTGAAGCTAGTGATTGTCTTTTATTATGATATGAGTAGGTTATTGTGTAGGTAGCATTGAGCATTGT